TTTTTTTTCCATTTCATTTATGCTCATCTTCTCTGTATCGTTCCAATGTTAACGGATGTCCCGAATCCTGTTTTATTTTAATGTCTTTCGTTTTTTTCCCCTTCCCACTACGGCAGAGGGAGAAGTCGGGATCCAAGCGGAGTCGCGGCCCTGTGAACACGTGGGAGACACTCGCACCAGAGCGACGCTTTGCCCAGCGTCACGCTCTCGGCATTTTTTGTTCCTTTTTTTTTCCCTTTTTGTTCATAAGAGTCTTCTTTCCGATCCATTGACGGGGAGAAGAACCATCTCATCATCGTACCTTTTTTTTGTTTTTTTTTGTTTTTTTTTTGTTTTTGGGAAGTCGTACTATTTTTAGGTGACTCGTGATCTCCTCTCTTTGTTTCATAAACCTGAGTCAGTCATGTCTAGGGATGGATTTTCGATGAGTGTGCCTTTCTTCTGCTTAGGCACCGCCTTATTGTTCACAGGGTTGTGTGCAGGAGGGGTGTGGCCTGCCAAGGCCGCAGCCTGTGACGAGCTCCTCATCATGATTGTTCTATTTATAGCCGCGGAATTTTTTATATGCGCGTTCTTGCTCTGCTTTGCTTCGAACGACTTGAATAGCGTCTTTGCGACTGTTGCCGGGTTCCTTGTTCTCCTGTTTTACCTGCTGCTTGCCACAGCCATCTTCGGCCTCGTGGTGTCCGCCGGGAGTGGTGGAGGGAAGGAGGTGGTCGGCAAGGGGCACAGCCTGAGGGAGTTCAGGCTCGAGAATTACTCCTCCTGGATGCGGCACAGAGTGAAAGACAAGGGTGTATGGACGCGAATCAAGCGGTGCCTCATGGAGAGGGAGGAGTGCCAGAAACTGTCCCTGCAGAAGCCTGATCCCATAACCGGGATCATCAAGTTCAATGGACTTCAATCGGGGTGCTGTAAGCCGCCCGATTCCTGCGGCTTCGCCGTGATCAACGCCTCCGCATCGCTTTACGAAAAACCCGCCAGTGCCAGTGCTGCTCCTTCCTCCTTACCTTCAGCGATCTTCACAGAACCGGATTGCTTGCTGTTCAGCGATGGCGACGAGAAGTGTTTCGACTGCGATTCCTGTCGAGCTGCGTTTCTGGACAGTCTAAGGAGGAGCTGGCGAATGATGTCAATCATCAACATCGTGATTGCTGCGTGGATATGCTGTTGTAGAGGGGGACACGGGGAGGAGCGTTAGTGGGTGGATGAAGATCATCCCTTGGGCTTCAGACTCAATCATTAGACTCTTGAAGATCAGCACAACAACAACTGGGACAGCGGAGGTGTCTTTCCGACTCTACGAATAGGACTTAACCTTATCTTGAGCAATGAACTCAGCGCTCTGTGCAATAATTGATAGATACTGATAGATAGATAGATTGATTAGCTCGTTCGTTCGTTGGTTCGTTGGTTGGTGTGCTGGTTGATTGATTGATTGATTGATTGATTGATTGATTGGTTGATTGATTGATTGATGGTATGGATTGTTCATTGATTGATTGATTGATTGATTGATTGATTGATTGGTTGATTGATTGATTGATTGATTGATTGATTGATTAAGTGATTGATTGATTGATTGATTGATTGATTGATTGATTAAGTGTATGATTGATTGGTTAATTGATTGGTTAATTGATTGATTGATTGGTTAATTGATTGATTGATTGATTGATGGGTTGGCTGGTTGGTTGATTTATTGATTGATTGACGAGCTCAGCACTCGACCCAACGTTCACGATGAAATATGTACTAGATAGATTGCTTGAGCAAAGTTAACCACTGTTTCAGCGTTCTAGCAGTATGTACAAGAGTGAATGATTGATATCGATACAGGACCGCACGATCTTGTAGATCGTTTCATCTTATTTCCTTAGTTTGTAGCAGGGTAGGATGGGAGATTGTGAAAGGTTCTTTCGGACCATGAGAGCAAGATGGCACGCTAAGCCTCGGTCTTCGGCTTGCAGGAGTCGCAACGGATGAAATACTGTGAAACGCTATGTAAGTAAATCAAAGAAGAAAAAGATTAAGAGTTCTCTTGGTGCTGTAGGCTGCGGATCACAGTTCTTCCCGGGCTAAACCAAACGAAGCTGTTTCCCCCCGCGGACGAGCTGACAAAAGGGAAACGGGAGGCTGCCTCTCTCTCTCTCTCTCTCTCTCTCTCTCTCTCTCTCTCTCTCTCTCTCTCTCTCTCTCTCTCT